CAAAGTATCAGTTTCACTGATTGTGGCTTGTTTTTTTTTTTAATTTTGTAGGTTATCATTGATTCTTCAACATGTTCAATAGCTGATTTTGCTTGTGAAGTGGAAACTACCAAGTAGGTCTTTCATCCTCCTCCTTTCCTTCTTAATTTTCTAGTATGCAGAATGTCATTTGTAAACTCCACTACCATGCTTCCTCCTTTTAAAGAAAAAAATTAATATTTATGTAGGTGTGAACCACTTCCAGATGGACGTTTCTATTTAGAGGATAGATACTGGTGCCTTTTGTTTGAAATGGTTGGAAATGAAAGACTAGTTTTATTAGGTTAAACCTTTTTCCGCTGAAATGTCTGTCATATTCAGATTTCATCTTTAGGAAGCTTCTACTTGGAACATTTGGGGAGGATCTTTATCTCTAGATCAACATATCTTATTTACTTGTGACAATTTGTCTTTATTCAAGCCTGTATGTTGCCTCAATGATTGCCGGTATTAATGTATGATTGGATGCACTTGCTTCTTTATCAAACCAGCATCCTCATGAAAGGTTGAATCTCCTATGCTTGCGAGATACAAGAAAGGTATTGCACTTTTTTCCCCTCTTGACATTGGGAATTTCATGTGCACGTGGGTATGGAATATGTAAGAATGAGATGCTTCTTCTCATCTAACACATTGTTTGAAATCTAATTTAGAATAGTTCGTATATATATCAATGCCATATGACCTCTGATAACACTTCAATTTTATTTCAAAACTTTTCTCTTCGTTGTCTCATTAGACTGTTTTGTATCCAATTTTTCATATACCGAGAATATATTGATGTATCTCAAAGCAGAAGAGCATGGTTGTCAAGTGTAATGAGAAAAATATTGTCATTGGGTTCAGTTTATAATTACGATAGAGACATTTTAGAAAGAAAATTCTTATTCAAGCAATTTTATGCTATGAAATTCAACATTCTTTGATCCACAAAATATTGGTGGATCCTTATTATAGTTTTTGCATTTATGGGTTTAACCAATATTATTTCTCATAAATAAAATAGATTTTTGATTCTTGCGCAATGGGCTAATTACTAGAAATCATTAGAATGGGAGGTATCGGAAAGAATTTAAATTATCATTCCACAATATCGCTTGTATAAATAAAATAATTGAAGAAATAACTCTAGCCCAATTAGCTGAAGTGGTATTTTATCCCTAAACCCTAAAATAATATGACAAAATTTTAAATGGTATAGCCGCACGGCTATACTATTAAAATATATTCGATATTTTTACGGTACAGCCGGGCGGCTGTGCGCATTAAATATATTATTTTAACGGTATAGCCGGTCGGCTGTACTATTTAAATATATTTGAATATTTTAAATGTATAGCCGGACGGCTATACGTTTTAATTATATTAGGGCAATCACAAACAGAGAGAGTTGCAAAATCAGAAACATACGTAAATTGGACGCCATGGTAGCCACGGATAGGGACTCGAACTCGTAGTTAGGCGGCCTGGGCGGATCTGGGCGGCCCCTAGGCGGATCTAGGCGGTGCCTAGACGGTCTGGGAGGATCTAGGCGGTCTGGGCGGATCTAGGCGGCGCCTAGGCGGGCTGGGCGGATCTAGGCGGGGCCCAGGCGGGCGGGGCGGGGCCAGGGGGGGCG